GGGCTGAAGTGGGTTGTTGAGCACAAGAGGCGGACAGACAGCCAACAGCACCAGCAGAGATTTTTTCCAAATTCAAAAAATGCGTGGCTTTGATCGCCTCCGCAATTACACCAAGAGATCAATGACTGGATTAAATGAAAAACGACAAAGTGTTGCTAAGAGATTTTCTGAGACAAAGTATACATGCTTTTGTCGCCCGGCTGTCGGCCGCGCCGGCGGTACTTTGCGCTGCCCTCGACGGCCTTCATGGCCACGCTCAGCCGGGCAACCAATGCCCTGACCTGGTCCACCGGGCCATCACCAGCGACGCGCCGCAGCGCCCTTGCTGTCTTGGTCCCGGCTGCAAGCCAGCTGGCAACAACTGCCAGCCCGCGCGGCGCCTTGCTAATGCGTGCTTGCTGAGGATGGTCCAAAACCCCACGCGCAATTTGCGACGCCTGGTGCCGACTGATCCACCCCCCACTTTGGCACAGGATCCACCACAAGGCGCAAAAGATCGTCCAGACCGCCTGTGGGCTGCTCGTTGCCGACGCCGAGACAATCGCCTGCACTGCCGTGTCCACTACCTGCTGCCGCCAGCTCGTCGATGAACTGGTTGAGGAGCATGTCCCCGGCTGCTTGCGACCCAAACTCACCGAAAACTGCAAAGGCATCCGCTGCTGAGAATCGGGCTTCACACAGTAAATGTGCGACGTGCCCGACTGTTCGAGTACTGCCGACTCGGACAAGCCCTTGCTGGTGAGTGTTGTGGTGCGAGCAACGCCAGGGAACAGCTCCGTGGCTGCTGTGGTGGACTCAGAGGTGCTAGTGTTGGTGCTCGGAATCGACGACAGAGCAGTGCCCAGCGAGGGCGACTGCGACGACGATGTCGCGCTCATGGCGACTGTGGCTGAGGATGGGGTGCGTGAGATGGTGTTGTTTGAGAGATCGGCGCTGGTAAGAGAAAAAGAGGCATCGCCGGGCGACAGGCCAAGCTGGGCCAGCGGCTGGTTGAGCGGCGATGCTGCCATAGGCGTGGGCAGGCTGCTCCACATGCCCGGCGTTGCTGCTTGCGAGATGGCTGCCGCCGCTGCCGGAGCATCGACTCCGGCAGCAACGGGTGCTGCACTGCCCAGAATCAGGCTCTGAAGCGACTGCAGCTGCTGCGCCAGCGAGTCCAGCTTGCTCGATAGCTCGAGGTTGCTCGTCTCGGCCTTTGTCAGCCGTTGCTCGAGCTCGGCGTTCTTGGCCCGCAGCTCGGCGTTCTCGTTCTCGAGCGACTCGACATGCTGGCGCTTCTTCTCGCGAGACAGCTGTGCCGCCGCACGGTTGCGCAGAACACGGGCCCGCTTACGGGCTTCCTGCATTGCCGGGTCCTGCGGCGTCTTGCCTGAGGGCCGGCCAGGCCGAGGCGGCGGCAGGTCGTTGAGGTCGATCTCGGCCCCTGATGTGAGCACGACCATCGAGTGCTTGCGCTTGCCCGCGCTGCTCTTACCAACGCCAACAGCACCACTGCCAATGCCGGAGCCCTCGCCTGCCTTGTTTGGGGAAACACAGGTGTTGGACATTTTGAGTGAAAGCCGGTGGTGGGGTGTGGAAGCGGTGGTGTTGCGTGGTGTGTTGTGTTGTGCTAAAGGGTCACGACAAAATTGCAAAGGAAAATAAGAGTGTGGAAATAGGGGATAAGGGAGGAGAAAGTGTTGGCGGCAGCGGCTAGTTGCTCATCAAGTGTTGGGAATGCGTGCGCTTTGTGGTTGGCTGGGCTGTGGGAGGCGAGAATCGCGCAATTTATTTATGCAAAATTGCCCAGCTGCCCGCCACCGCTGCTCTTGGCAAAGCACGATCGTGTCAACAACCTCCAGCAACATGTATTTTTTTTGCGGGCACACAACATCGCCACTGTCCACACAGAGCGGCCCACATCCCTCGGCGCCTATTTTTGGGCAGTACATGTCCACAACATCAGACCACGGCACTACCAGCGTTTGATGCGGATCACCTCGGACCGCAGCAGCAATTTCGAACCGTCGCTGTCGACATCGCCTGCACATTTATCGGTTGATCAAGGCTCCGTCATAGCGGACAGAAAATCACATTCGCAGCACAGTGATAGTAGTAGAATTTATTGCGAGGTTCACAAGCTGGGGAGGCTGCATTCGCAGTCTTCACAGTTCCAGGACATTCTCAGACATTGTGAAACACTTCCAGAAAGCCCATGCTGCCTAAAAGCGCGCTGGCCATTGGGAGATGAAGTAGCACTACGCTCGGGCTTAGTTGCCGCCGCGCAGGCGAAGCACCAGGTGCAGAGTCGACTCCTTCTGGATGTTGTAGTCCGAGAGAGTGCGGCCGTCCTCGAGCTGCTTGCCGGCGAAGATGAGGCGCTGCTGGTCAGGCGGGATGCCTTCCTTGTCCTGAATCTTCTGCTTGACGTTGTCAATGGTGTCCGACGACTCCACCTCGAGGGTGATAGTCTTGCCGGTGAGGGTCTTCACGAAAATCTGCATACCACCGCGCAGGCGGAGCACCAGGTGCAGAGTCGACTCCTTCTGGATGTTGTAGTCCGAGAGGGTGCGGCCGTCCTCGAGCTGCTTGCCGGCGAAGATGAGGCGCTGCTGGTCAGGCGGGATGCCTTCCTTGTCCTGAATCTTCTGCTTGACGTTGTCGATGGTATCCGACGACTCCACCTCGAGGGTGATAGTCTTGCCAGTGAGGGTCTTCACGAAAATCTGCATACCACCGCGCAGGCGGAGCACCAGGTGCAGAGTCGACTCCTTCTGGATGTTGTAGTCCGAGAGGGTGCGGCCATCCTCGAGCTGCTTGCCGGCGAAGATGAGGCGCTGCTGGTCAGGCGGGATGCCTTCCTTGTCCTGAATCTTCTGCTTGACGTTGTCGATGGTGTCCGACGACTCCACCTCAAGGGTGATAGTCTTGCCGGTGAGGGTCTTCACAAAAATCTGCATGATACAGAGCGAGCGAGAAAAGAGCTACTGGGATGTTGGTGTAGTTTAAAGGTGATATTCTTGGGAGAAAAATGAAGCGGTAGAGATGAAGAAAGGCGGCGCGGCGGTTGAGACGGAAAGGCACTTTATAAATGATTCTGGCATGGTCATGTGGCCCAGTGCTGACGCGTATAGTGTGAAAATAGCGGTGTCCGCAGTTGCATTCTTCACAAATGTACATCACATGCATGCAATTCCATTTGCTGGTCGCTCATGATGAGAAATCGAGACCCCGCTTTCCACTATGTGCGCCCCATCCGCAGTTGACTAGGCAACTTTTCTAGACTTGGAAGTGATGGCAGGCCTTCGAGACTCCTCTGTCAGTATTTGAGGCGTTTTACCTAGCAGGAGCAGCCACTCCAGTATATAAAATGTTAGGTGCGGATGTGACAGCTATTTATCATGACTTATGCCGAAGTACTGCTTGCTGCCATATACTGAAGTTTGTCCCTGGTGCATCTGTATTCACGTGGTTCAAAATAGAACTGCATTATTTCTTGGTGCTTATTAGAAAAGGTATTTGCAAAATTGTCATACACTGGGCGGCAAAATTGAGTCACAAAAATGAAAATCTTCAGAAATCTATAATAATTTCTCATAGCGATATGCATTGCACTTGACAAAAATAATTCGTAGTGCATACCATGCACTAATCTATTATATGTAGTTGCATGCCTATAGCTCTCGAAATAATCGTGATATTGACTTTTTGAAAAATATATTTTTGACTCTGTTTTGCTAGCAAAAATTTGTCAATTTATTTCTCAACAACTAGCATAGCCACCATAGGATTTTTTGACTGCAGCGATACGCCCAGGCATCGAGTTCACTAGCCACGAATAAGCAGTTTCATTTACTTTCTCATGTACAATTTCCTAGACCAATGCAACATAGGTGCCAAAAACGATGAATTTTGGCCTTTATCAGATCATACTTATAATGAAGCCCTATATGTGAGTAGCGCATCATATCTAGGGGATGCCACTGACCATCGTACAATAGAAACAGCTCACACACCTAGTCAATTTATAACCCAAATTGCCATTTATGTAATAGAAACTGCTTCTGACATAATCTTTGCACTCTCCCACTGCATATCCTAAGTGTGTAATCAAGGTAAGTTATATACTATCATATGCACACTGGTCAGCATGTCATATCCCCCTCTACTAAGGAAGCAATAGCCACAGCTGTATAGAGATACACTTTACTAAACTCAAAATCTACTTTTTCTGATTTTCTTAGAATCTAGTTTTCCTCTCAATGTTGGCAGAATTGAGTATATTGATTAGGATTTTTCATTCCCACTGTCACCAGTAGGGCATGTACTTTGTATAGCAAGAACATTTGATTTGAACTATTATGTATTTGATCAGAAATCGCTGCTTAAAGAAGGATTAAGAAAGTTGAAAAATTTGTGATTCAGATTAAATGGCTTATCATTAGGCACAGAGGTTACATATAGATATCTCACAATATAGAGTGGATAGCCACAGTAGTAACCACTCTACCTATCTATATACTGATACTATAAAAAATCATGTTATAAAAATGGAGATCAGCTAGAGTTTGGAGATCAGCCAGAGTTTGTTAACTATTTAATAATTCTTAAAATTTTTCTTGTTTTCTTGTTCAGATGCCAAATATGGTGCTTCTCCGAAACCCCCTTCAGCATCCTGAAAAATTTCAGTTGATTTCTCGGGACGCAGCCTCTATCTCAGTAGAAGCATATTAATTGTGTATCAACTGAAATTTTTCAGGATGCCGAAGGGGGTTTCAGAGAAGCACCATATTTGGCATCTTTGTTTCTTTGTTAATCTAGTTGCTAGAATCTTTTTGGCCACTGCTAAACATTCTGTATTTTAAAATATTTATCTACTGCTAGTAATTGATTTCATATTTGTTAATTGGTTATTCTGCTAATAGATATTTAGTTTCTTTAAATTTTTATATTTGTGAATGGCCTCCTTGGGAGTACATCTTAACTCCCTTTTGGGACTGGAGTTGAAGAATAGAGATAATATGCCTGATATATCTGATGCAAGATATACTAGTAATGGCATTGAACAACAAGGATTTGTTCAGCAATCTGATATCTTTATGGATTCATGTGTTGTTGAGATACCAGAATCATATGCTCTTATAGATCAGATTAACAATATTACCCCATTTGATAGATTGCATAGAGTTTTTGGTGATGGATACAGATTTAAGTATATGAAGTGCATGATAAGTATGAGAAATGGTAAAGTCTCTGTATACAAAGTCTCTGCTCCAAATGTTGCAATAGCTGATCCTGCACTAACTGATATCTTTCTTAGGATGCATCAAGAACATGTATTTCTTCTGAACTATGATATTACAATGGATTGTCTAAACATATCTTCTAGGGCTGTGATTAAGGAATTTCTTCTTGATACTGGAATCAGTAGCAATGATATTCTTGATGATAAAGATAAAGTTGGAGCAAACTGCATTAGCTGGTTTACGGAAGAAGATGAAATAAAAATTAGGAACAAGTTGTATAATAAATTTGTTCAACTTCTAGAAAGTGGTGAGGTTCATAATCAACTTACTTCTAAGCTATCAGAGCTAGTGATGCCAACTTCTCAGCAATTTGGTGAAACACTTGTTGCTTGTAGGAATGAAGGATTAATGAGGCTTGAGCTTACTGTTCACTCTCCTAAGTTGAAAGAAGTAGAATGGAACACAAACTTAATTGCTAGTACACTGGAGTTTCTTAGTGATTGTAGGACATTTGCAACATCTTATGAGAAGCAGTGGATGGCACTAGTTGATCAGATTCATACCAAACATATGTTATGCATTTACTTCCATAAGGAACATGCTCTTGGTTACTGCCATTGGTTCAATAGGACAACTAAGAAGAAACAAGGAATAGCTAAAAAGTTGAAAGAGAATGAGGATGTGATGACTGTTGTTTCCAATCTTACATTTAATGGGCACCCAACTGTTCTTCTAACATATGCCACCAGCAGTGGTCCTCTTGAATCAGAAGTTGTTCTAAGAAGAGATGGCACAAATATCACCATTGTTCCAAGTCAGAGGAATTCTTTCTGGCCTGTTGCTTCAAGAGAAAGGCAACAACATACATTTGCTGAAATGGGACTTGTTAACTATTGTGGAATGCACATTGATTGGCTGACTGCTCAACAAGCAAGAGAGAAAGTTTGTCTCTCAACTCTCTCAAGTGTTAGTGAGGATACTGATAACCTAGGAATAGATGATCTTATTGCTGATATCAGCAACATTGAACTTGATGATCTAGAACCCACATACATAAGAGAAAATACTGATCTTAGGCCAGCTAGATACAAAGTTGCTTATAACATACTTCATGCTGGAGATGAGTTCCTAGTTAGTCATTATTTCTTATATACTTTTAGAGGGTTGCCATTCTACTACCTAGATATCTATATGATTCATAATGAAGTAGTTAGCAGTACTCACACTCATATCAAAATACAAGCAAGTAGTCCATTTGGAGAATATATTGCTTCTATTATTGGTGAACCAAGTCAAGAAGTGGTACTTAAAGTAACTAGAATTCATAATCGTACACTGAGTGGCAAAATTGAGTCACAAAAATCAAAATCATCGAAAATCTTAAATAATTTCTCAAAACGACGTTCATTGAATATGATAAAATTAAATCATGGTGTATGTCATGCACTAATCTATTTCATGTAGTTATGTGCTTATCACTCTTGAAATAAGTGAGAAATTGGCTCTTTAAAAATAAAATATTTTGACTCAGTTTTGCTCACAAAATTCGTCGATTTTTTTCTCACTAATTAGCATAGACACCATAAGTTTTTTTGACTGCAGCGATACGCACAGGCATCGAGTTCACTACCCATGAATCAACGGTTTCATTTACTTACATATATATAATTTCCTAAGCCAACGCAATGTAGGTGCCAATCATGATGAATTTTGGCCTTTATCTGATCATACTCATAATGAAGCCCTATATGTGAGTAGCGCATCATATCTAGGGAACTACACTGATCATCATACAGTAGAAACAGTATTCATATCTAGCCAACTGGTAGCCTAATTTGCTATTTATGTGATAATGAATACTTTGGACATAATCTTTGCACTCTCCTACTGCTTATCATAGGTATGTAATCAAGGTATGTTTTATATCATCATATACACACTGGTCAGTATGTCACATCCCCCTCTACTAAGGAAGCAATAGCCATAGCTGTATAGAGATACACTACTCTAAACTCAGAATCTACTTTTTCTATTGTTCATAGATTCTGATTTTCTTCTTATTTTTGGCAGAATAGAGTATATTCATTCAGATATTTCATTCTCAGTGTCTCCTGTGGGGCATGTGCTTTGTATAGCAAGTATATTTGATTTGATCCATTATGTATTTGATTGGAAGGAGCTGCATAAAGAAAGATCAAGAAAGTTGTAATATTTGTAATTCAGATTAAATGGCTTATCATTAGGCACAGAGGTTACATATAGATATCTCATAGTATAGAGTGGATAGCCACAGTAGTAACCTCTCTACCTATCTATATACTGATACTATAAAAAATCATGTCATAGAATTACATTGCTTCAATAGAGAGCATAAGTGTAGTTGCACATCATTTATAGTTGATTACTCCATCAGTGAACTAGCTATCAAGCTCATTTCTTGTCATCGTTGAGTACAAATCACGCGAATATCAACTATGCAATCAACATCCATAAGAGTGATGGCAGCGCTGAAGCGTTGATCATTTCCTTCATAATTTTTCTTCGTATATTGAATACATGATAGTACTACGTGTAGTTGAGCAACGATATGAATGAGATATTTATATGGAAGAGTGAGTGAAGAAGAGTTATAGGTAGTGATTTCACATTATTCGAATATTGATATGGTATAGAAATAACACTATGAAGTCAAAGTGAGTCAAATTTTTGCCTCTCCAATTTTTCTAGTTTTTTACTATTGCTTCGATATCATGCGAAGTACAATAGTTAGAGAATATGCAACTACATGCTTTTATACTATATCAAGCCCCATCGAACATATATCGAATGGAAGTATCTACGTTAGCTGATGATGAAGATATAGCATCAAAAAGTTGAAAAAATTTTTTGTGACTCAATTTTGCCACTCAGTGTATTATCCATACTGAAAGGATCTAGTTTTAAAATGGGCAGTTAGCAACCATTACTTCCATATCTGCATAACTGTAGTTGCATACATCAAACACATGCTTAATAGTAACACCCCTATCTTCTGAAACACTCTCAATCCATGCTCTGATATATACTGACAATTTCCTGCTCATATTGAAATTCTTAGTTAGCAGTTGTGCAAGCTTTTCTCTCTCTTGCTCATCAAGGTCAGCAAGTTTTGTAGTGAAGAAAGTGTAGAATGGGCCCATTGCAATAAATGACAACGGGGGTCATTCCTGGACTTATAAATTTTAGATGTTTGCAATTTAGTTAGTTAGTCATTTGAATAATCGTTTTCAGAACTATTTTTTACTACTAGATATTTTTGGAACAGATATTTATAATTGTTGTGTCCAGAATGTTTTTGTGTGTATAATTGATTTTAAAAATACAAATATTTTTTTGCCATTTCACCCAAACCGCCATCAGCGTCTTGGAAAAGTTTCAGTGAACATAATTTCAACCAGAAAGAAAAACAGTTGAACATTTGTTGTTAATTATCATTGGGCAACAAAAGTCAATATCTCAATAAATGTGGCTAAGCAACCACAAGGAAATTATGTTCACTGAAACTTTTCCAAGATGCCGATGGCGGTTTGGGTGAAATTTTTATTTCACTGAAATTGCCAATAGTTTAAACATGTATAAATAATTGTTGTGCAGATAACAAACAATGAATGACCTCCTTATTGAAGCATTTTCTATCAATGCAAATTTCTTACTGAAAATTCCTATTTTAAAAGTTACTTATGACATGTCTACATAGAAGTTCATTGACTCATCAATTTTAGCTTGAATAAGTCTATCTTGTAGTTCTCTCATTGAAGCATCTAGTTCTACTTTTTGTTGTAAACTACTTCCAACTTCAGCATGTGTTGATCTCTCCTGGTTGTTGCTTGGGTAGTCAAAGTTAGATAGAACCCAAAGTGTGTGGTGATGTTCAACAGGAACTTTACTAGCTGCTAGGATCTTCTTCATATTGTAGAGTAAGCAACAGAGTTTAAACTGCACATTATACATAGTTGTGTTTCTAATTCTCACAACTTCTCTATTTGAAAGTCTCTTAAATGTGTTACCTAGTTCTCCAAATGTGCTCTCAACCATTGATCTAAATGACCCAAGTTTGCTATTATATTCTAACTCTGCCTCACTTAAGTTGGTTCCTCTTGGCTTTCTAACTGGTAAGCAAAAGTTATGCATTCCAAAATTCTCATTCTCTTCTGCTTCTGTTAACTCCTCCAGAATACTTTGAGGATAACCACCATCTAAAACAACACAATCTACTGGAGAGATGTATTTCAATAGTGACATGTTCTTAATCATCTTAGAATCTGGATGGTCTTTACACTCCTCTGTTGGTGAAACAAGGACAACCATTCCATTCAAATCAATGCAAACTTGTGTTCTGTATCCTGACTTCTTCAGCTTGAAGGAATAAAGATTTGGTTTGTATGCACCATTATGTAGAGCTCGTGAGTCATGGCCATCAAGCATAAGAGTAATATGCTTAAACCCTTGTGGATTCTGGATCTTTGCTGAGATCACTCTTAGTTCTGGAGTGGAGAACATTGTGTGCAAGTAGTGAGAGAGCTTCTTGTTCAACTCACTTAACTCTGAGAGATAGAACATATTATGAATTACCTGATAGCTGCTCTTAGGAATAAACCTCTCCATCTCATTGATTGATAGCCCAGCAACTAACTGGTACAAAATCAAGAGTCCTTTCTTAATATTTCTGTAAGGACATGGATACTGCTTTCCACTAAACAACACATTTAGGAAGAAGAACACAGGGATCATTCCAAGTTGCATCACAAGTGTATCTTTGATAAGCTTAATTTCTTTCACTTCATGAGCTTCACTCCTATAGTACTTCTGATGTTTATGCACTAACCAGTCTTCATCAAGAAATCGCCACTTTGTTGTGTAGAGCACATTCCACTCCTTCTCTCTTAATTCTTGTAATTGATTGTCCATCTGAGTGAGGTAGTCATAAATAAAAATTTCAACTTTTATCAATTTTAGAAAATGGGATCATTCCAGAACTTCTTCAAGCAACATTTAGCTGAGATGTGTGAGGAAGAAAGAGATATGCTTACTCTGCTACTTATTCATGACTTTGATATGAGTGATGACCTAGCAATACAAGTGCGTAATTGGATCCAACATATTGCTACTGATTATGAGGTAAGGGTTGAACATGTGTATGATGTTTGTCAAACTTTCCATAGAGATATGGAGAGAATAGTTGCTTATACTATGTTTTAAAATGGCTGCTATTCCACTGTGATTGTTCTATATCCCATACTTACAACTCTCAGATGTATTTGTTACTTTGATTCTCTTAACTGTTGAGAAATTACTTTTCCAATAGAACTCTCAGCTGGTGTCTTAATAAGAGTTGGCTGTTTATCTCTCCCTTTAATATGAATATCAATATAGAAGTATGAATGTCCTCTGAAAGTATGGAGTGCATAATGTGTAACTATAAATTCATCACCTAACAGAAGAACATTGTAAGCAACTCTATACAAGGAAGGTTTCAGATCTGTATTCTCTTTGATAAATATATGGCTAGTTTCATCAAGTGTGATATTATCTATTGCTGTTGTTAGTGCATTGATGTTTTCCTCATCTGCAGAATATTCAACCTCTGACATTTCTGATAGACATATCTTACTCTTTACTTGTTTGCTGTCTATCCAACTAATATGCATTCCTTTATAGTTAACTAATCCCATCTCTTCAAAAGTGTGATACTGCTTGGAGATCATTCAGAGTTTGTTATCTGCACAACAATTATTTTTACATGTTGAAACTATTGGCAATTTCAGTGAAATAAATATTTCACCCAAACCGCCATCGGCATCTTGGAAAAGTTTCAGTGAACATAATTTCCTTGTGGTTGCTTAGCCACATCTATTGAGATATTGACTTTTGTTGCCCAATGATAATTAACAACAAATGTTCAACTGTTTTTCTTTCTGGTTGAAATTATGTTCACTGAAACTTTTCCAAGATGCCAATGGCGGTTTGGGTGAAATGGCAAAAAAAAATTTGTATTTTTAAAATCAATTATACACACAAAAACATTCAGGACACAATAACAAATAATATCTATGAAAAAAATAATTACTAGCAAAAAATAGTTCTGAAAGTGATTATTCAAATAGCTATCTAACAAAATTGTAATTTATTAAAATTTACAAGTCCAGGAATGACCCCCCCTAGTTGTAGGATAAGTTGACCAGAAGGAGTTTCTCTGACTTGGAATACACTGAGCGGCAAAATTGAGTCACAAAAATGAAAATCACCAGAAATTTTTAATAATTTCTCATATCGATATGCATTGCACTTGACAAAATTAATTCATGGTGCATACCATGCACTAATCTATTATATGTAGTTGTATGCCTATAACTCTCGAAATAATCGTGATATTGACTTTTTGAAAAATAAATTTTTGACTTAGTTTTGCTAGCAAAAATTTGTCA